ATTCGGTATTGAATTAATTTTTTTTACCACAATTATTGTTTAATATTTAATTTTTATATTTGTAAATTAATGTGTATTATTACAATTAATATTTGTAATTGATTCTATTTCATATAGAATCAATAGAAAAAAGATTTTCAATATTGGATTTAAGGAAGGCTAAACTGATATACCAAGATTTAGATATAGATATAGATTGATATAGATATAGATTTGAATTTTTATAATTCCGAGTGTGAGTTTAAATAAAATTTCTCATCCCTCCTTTTTTAATCGTTCGATACACTCGATAACGATTATCGTAGCAGTAACTTATCGACGCGATTCTCATCGACACTCGATGACTTGCAGGAATTCTCGATGTTAGCACTAACGTTCGCGCCGGCCGATGTTCGCGCGTCAGATTACAGATATTTAATTAAATTTCCTCGATCGAGAGAAATTGGCTCATCCAACGTGAGTGAAAAGATTGGGAAAGATATGCCAGGAGACGAAAGAAAGACAACGGAAGACTATAGTGATTCTGAACTGCCCCGAAGGTTTAATTGAGAATTGAGGCTACGGACGTGGAGGGTCAATGTGCTATCACACATATTTCGGGAAGGAGGAGAGAGAAGAAAGATAATGATGTAATGAATCTGGAGACACTGGTAGTGTCTCAGCGCTAAGCCAAGGCGCAGCGACATTGCCGTGCCTTTTTTATGCGATTATATTCACTCGCTCGTGAACGTTTTGTCACGATTGCCCTTTGGCCGCGATACACACGTCATATGTGTCACGCTGTCGTGAGGAAAAATAGCACGTGGCATCGAGATAGTTCCTTGATATAGCACGGGCTGTCGGACGCCAAATCGACCTTGCCGGGAAGTCCGGTGACGGACGCATCTCGAGGACATCAGAGGACACGTTGAGATCGGACGAGATTCCGAGAGATTTCGTTGCGCGATAAAATACAGTTAAATTATGATACATCATTTTCGGACAAAGATTATAAAACGTCACTAAAATTCACGAACGGTATGTACATCTCAATGTCAACATAGGGTGCTTTCTATTTAGATGTTTAGAAACTTCATCGAATGTTAAATAAAAATAAAATAATACATGAGTGCATCCGGATGAAATTTTTGAATGCAGTTTTAATGATACAAATAAACTATTCTCTTTGACATTCCAATAACTAACAAAAATAAAATGATATTTGTATTGATTTGTATCATTAAATGAAAAGCACTAGTATTTTTTAATTCATTGATTGATGGATCAATCACATTATGTACAAATGTTTGTTTCATAAAAGTTGCATTTGTACATAATGCGATTGATCCATCAATGAACTAAAAACTCACCTGTATTCTCGAATGAATTGTATACTCTTTCCTTCACCACATGAAATGTACAACTTCATGTCTGTTTTTCTAGAACACTGATTGTACAGTTGGAGTTCTTCTCAAACAAGATGAGCAGTCAGCTGCAGACTAACTTGATCGCCGCTGCTATCGGAGCAACTATAGGCGTTATAAGCGCTGCTAGTATCTTTATATATCAGAAGGTCTTGGAGAAACAGCAACATGCCATGAAAAATGCCCATCTGGACGAAGTCGATCGTCGTCTCACCGAGTTGCAAACGGAATTAGAGAGA